TTTCTTCTATGTGTTTCTTTCAATTAATTCAATCAAGGAAACGCGCAGTTTTACCTTTGTTTTTGTTTCTCAAGAGAATTACGTGTTTAGTTGTTGAGTCATTTGCAACACAAGAAGAGGGATAGTTACGCCAGCTGCAACATAAATCAAACACCAAATCAAAAGACTCGCTAATTGCAACACAAAACAAACAACAGTTACGTCAGTCGCAACACAAAATAAACACCAACTCAAAACCTTCGTCAGTTGCAACACAAAACAAACACCAGCTCAAAACCTCCATCAGTTGCAACACAAAAGCAAACAGCAGGAAAAGCAGGTGAGAAGTCCCCGAGGCACTAATTAACTCAAATACCTGGACACTCCTCCACGTAAACACTCTGAGCTGAACACCAAGATCTGATCTGAGAGTTTTAAGGCGATGGCTTAATGAACTACCCAGTGACCTTTAGACCTTATGAATGACCTTTGACCTTTTGAATGAATTTGACCATATGAATGACCTGTGACCTTTTGAATGACCTTAGACCTTATGAATGACCTTTGACCTTTTGAATGACTTAGACCTTATGAATTACCATAGACCTTTTGAATAACCTTTGACCTTTTGAATGACCTTAGACCTTATGAATGACCTTAGACCTTTTGAATGACCTTTGAGCTTTTGAATGACCTTTGAGCTTTTGAGTGACATTTGACCCTTTGCGTGACCTTTGACCTTTGAATGATCTTGTGAGCTCCTGGGGTCAAGGTCAATATGGATAATGTGTAACTCTGATAATAAGAAGCTGGTATTTGTATACACTGAAGCTATAACAAACTCACAAACATATACAATATACAAACATACGTAAAATATACAGGGCATAATGTATATACACAAGAATCAGTTTATATTATTATTATTATTATTATTATTATTATTATTATTATTATCATTATTATTATTATTATTATTATTAGTAGTAGTAGTAGTAGTATATTATTTATTTATTTAATTTGTAGTAGTAGTATTAGTAGTATCAAAACCAAGTTCATTCTGAGCAACAAAAACTTAACACAATGAACAAAATGAATAACTTAATATGAGGTGCAGGAGGAATGCGAATGGTGAGAACAAGAAACTGAGAGAGGAAAGAGAGAGAATATAAATAGTATGATAATAAGGGAAGTTACATACAGAGGACCAGTGTATGTATGTGTATGTAGGTATGAGAGAGGTAAACACCATACTCTAAGGCACTACTCATCAAGATTCATGTGGGAGGGAGAGTCAGGACATCAGCAGGGTGTGAGAGAGGGAGGAGGGGGAGGGAGGGAGGAGAGGGAGAGGGGGAGGGGAGGGAGGGGAGGTTGGGATTAGGAGGAGGAGAAGAGCAGGAGAAGAGGAGGGGGGAGGGAGAGGAGGGAGAACAAAGTGAGGGAGAGGGGGAGAGAGGGAGAGGGGCTAGGGGAGAGGAGGAGGGGGAAATGACGATGGAAGAGAGGAGTTGAGGAAAGAGGAGGATGGTGAAGGGGGGAAGGAGAAAGCTGAAAAGAGGACGGAGGGGAGAGGGAGAGAGAAGGGAGAGAAAGAGAAAGGAGGAGGAGAGGGAGAGAAGAAAGGGGTAGGAGAGCAGGAGAGGAGAGGGAAGGGAGACGAGAGAAAAAAGAGAGAAGAGAGATAAAGGGTGAGGGGAAAAAGAGGAAGGATAGGTGAGGGAGGGAAAGGAGGGGGGGGGGACAATGGGAGGGGAAGGCCAGAGAGGAGTACACACAGAATACAAATGAGGTTAAAAGAGAAACGTAACTACGAATAAGGAAGAGACACACACGATAAAATAGTAACGTAAAACAATAATAATAATAATAATAATAATAATAATAATAATAATAATAATAATAATAATAATTACAATAATAATAATAATAATAATAACGAAACTAACAACAATAACAACAACAGTAAACTCATAAAAATAATAACAGCAACAATAATAATAACAGTAAACACAACAAATAATAATAACAACAACCACAACAATAATAACAGTTGTCGGAAATTTCATAAAAAAAGTGAATTTCCTTCCAGCAAAATTAGTAAAGGAGCAGTCAACTGGAGGGTATTTCACTTATAATTACAATATATTGTATTATTCTTCCCCTGACACTTGATCCCTAACAATAGGCGCTGCAGTCCCCATTTTCTATGTATTAATCCCAGCAAATGATCATAATTTCATAAGATTTTTGGTAAATCTTAATACATCTCCAAGTGTATATACCTAGTATTATTAAAGGCCTTTCATAGGTTATTCTACTTACCTACATACCAACTATTTAATACTACAGTCCACTACAATAACATCACGTAAGTGTATATTTATTATTTTATTTGTATTTGATTTTGTGAGAATAATTAATTAACAGAACCAGTGAGCAACACAATTGAGCTTATTAAAATTTCCCACAACAGCAAATTCATAAAAATAATAACAGCAACAACAACAACAACAACAACAACAACAACAGTAAACACACGCATAAATAATAATAATAATAATAATAATAATAATAATAATAATAATAACAACAACAATAATAACAGTAAACACACACATACAAATAATAATAATAATAACAACAACAACATTACTAGAAAATAGATTGAAATGACAAACGTGGACTGCGTAATAGAGTCAGAATTCATGAATGGCAAATAGTATGTCCAATACGAGAACAAACTAGAAATGCAAGAGCTGACGAGAACGAGAGAGAGAGAGAGAGACGTTATACTGAAGACAGCAAGACAGAGAGAAAAGTTGAGGATAGAAGATAATTATAAAATTTACCTGTCCTAAGAGAGAGAGAGAGAGAGAGGGGTATAAACTCTACCTGTCCTATATCTACCTGTGTAAAAGTCACGTGTACCTAAACATCTCCAAAACAACGTAAACACAACATAACATAAACAACAATCCTATCAAACAAACACGACAAACACACAACGTAAACACAACATAAACAATCCTATCAAACAAACACGACAAACACACAACGTAAACACAACATAACATAAACAATCCTATCAAACAAAAAACACACAACGTAAACACAACACAATAAACAACTATCAACAAACACGAAACACATACAAACAACATAAACAATCCTATCAAACAAACACAAAAAAACACAACGTAAACACAAAATAACATAAACAATCCAATCAAACAAACACGACAAACACACAACGTAAACACAACATAACATAAACAATCCTATTAAACAAACACGACAAAACACAAAGTAAATATAAACATAACATAAACAATCTATTAAACAAAAACAACAAACACACAACGTAAACACAACATAAACAATCCTATCAAACAAACACGACAAACACACAACGTAAACACAACACAACATAAACAATCCTATCAAACAAACACGACAAACACACAACACAACATAAACAATCCTATCAAACAAACACAACAAACACACAACGTAAACACAACATAACATAAACAATCCAATCAAACAAACACGACAAACACACAACGTAAACATAACATAAACAATCCTATCAAACAAAACACGACAAACCACAACGTAAATACAAATATAACATAAACAATCTATCAAACAAACACAACAAACACACAACGTAAAGCACAACATAAACAACTTATCAAACACAACAAACACACAACGTAAATACAACATAACATAAACAATCCTATCAAACAAACACAACAAACACACAACGTAAACACAAATATAAACAATCTATCAAACAAACACAACAAACACACAACGTAAATACAAAATAACATAAACAATCCTATCAAACAAACACAACAAACACACAACGTAAACACAACATAAACAATCCCATCAAACAAACACGACAAACACACAACGTAAATAGCAACATAACATAAACAATCCTATCAAACAAACACAACAAACACACAACGTAAACACAACATAAACAACCTATCAAACAAACACGACAAACACACAACGTAAACACAACATAAACAATCTATCAAACAAACACAACAAACACACAACGTAAACACAACATAAACAATCCTATCAAACAAACACGACAAACACACAACGTAAAACACAACATAACATAAACAATCCAATCAAACAAACACGACAAACACACAAACGTAAACACAACATAAACAATCCTATCAAACAAACACGACAAACACACAACGTAAACACAACATAAACAATCCTATCAACAAACACAACAAACACACAACGTAAACACAACATAACATAAACAATCATATCAAACAAACACGACAAACACACACAACGTAAACACAACATAAACAATCCTATCAAAAACACAAACACACAACGTAAACACAACATAACATAAACAATCCTATCAAACAAACACGACAAACACACAACGTAAACACAACATAAACAATCCTATCAAACAAACACGACAAACACACAACAAAGTTACAACACAATAATTATAAACTTTAATTCACCTTCAACGAGAAATTGTTTATCATGTTATTAGTCTATAAAAGGAAGTAAATAATATAAACTTTATCTGACAGACAATTAGACAGACAGACAGACAGACATAGATTCATAGACAGACAAACAGACAGACGGACAGATAGACATAGACAGATATACAGACAGGATAGACAACCAGACACAGACAGACAGACAGACAGACACAGACATAGACAGACAGATACACAAAGACATAGACAGACAGAAAGATAGACAAAGACATGGACAGACAGAAAGATAGAATAGACAGACAGAAAGCCAGACACAGACATAGACAGACAGATACACAAAGACATAGACAGACAGAAAGATAGACACAGACATAGATACAGACAGACAGACAGACAGACAGATAGACATTTAAACAGCTCAACCGTCACACGTTACACCACTGAATATTACTATATTTTTTTTGTATCTGAATTAATGGAATAAATTATACGGCGTTGACCAAGGACCAGTGTACAAGGACCAGTGTACAAGGACCAGTGTACAAGGACCAGTGTATATGACCAGTGTACAAGGATCAGTGTATATGACCAGTGTACAAGGACTAGTGTACAGGACCAGTGTATAGGGCGACTGTGCAAGGACCAGTGTACAAGGACCAGTGCACAGGGACCAGTGTACAAGGACCAGTGTGCAGGGACCAGGCTAGGACCAGTGTATGACCAGTGTGACAGGACCAGTGTACAAGGACCAGTGTGCAAGGACCAGTGTACAGGACCAGTAGGACCAGTGTACAGGTCTGGTGCAAGGACCAGTGTACAAGGACCAGTGTAAGGACCAGTGTATATGACCAGTGTATAAGGACCAGTGTACAGGGACCAGTGTACAGGGACCAGTGTACAGGACCGGTGTGCAGGACCAGTGTACAGGACCAGTGTAAGGACCGGTGGGGAAGTGTACAAGGACAGTGTACAAGTGTGCAGGGACCGGTGTGCAGGGACCGGTGTAAGGACCAGTGTACAGGACCAGTGTACAGGACCAGTGTGCAAGGACCGGTGTACAGGACCAGTGTCGGGACCAGTGTACAGGACCAGTGTGCAAGGGACCAGTGTGCAAGGACCAGTGTACAGGACCAGTGTACAGGGACCAGTGTGCAAGGACCAGTGTACAAGGACCAGTGTGGGACCAGTGTGCAAGGACCAGTGTACAGGACCAGTGTGCAAGGACCGGTGTGCAGGACCAGTGTACAGGGACCGGTGTGCAGGACCAGTGTGCAAGGACCAGTGTGCAGGGACCGGTGTACAGGACCAGTGTGCAGGACCGGTGTGCAGGGACCGGTGTGCAGGACCAGTGTACAGGGACCAGTGTACAGGACCAGTGTGCAAGGACCAGTGTGCAGGGACCAGTGTACAGGACCGGTGTACAGGACCAGTGTGCAGGACCAGTGTACAGGACCGGTGTACAGGGACCAGTGTGACAGGACCAGTGTACAAGGACCAGTGTACAGGGACCAGTGTACAGGACAGTGTGCAAGGACCAGTGTACAGGACCAGTGTACAGGACCAGTGTACAAGGACCAGTGTACAAGGACCAGTGTGGGACCAGTGTGCAGGGACCAGTGTACAGGACCAGTGTACAAGGACCAGTGTACAAGGACCAGTGTACAGGACCAGTGTGCAGGACCGGTGTACAGGACCAGTGTGGGACCAGTGTGCAAGGACCAGTGTACAGGACCAGTGTACAGGACCAGTGTACAAGGACCAGTGTGCAAGGACCAGTGTACAGGACCGGTGTGCAAGGACCAGTGTGCAAGGACCAGTGTGCAAGGACCAGTGTACAGGACCAGTGTGCAAGGACCAGTGTACAAGGACCAGTGTGCAAGGACCGTGTGCAAGGACCAGTGTACAGGACCAGTGTACAGGACCGGTGCAAGGACCAGTGTGCAAGGGACCAGTGTGCAAGGACCAGTGTGCAAGGACCAGTGTGCAAGGACAGTGTGCAGGGACAGTGTGCAAGACCGAGTGTGCAGGACCAGTGTGCAAGGACCAGTGTGCAAGGACCGGTGTACAAGGACCAGTGTACAGGACCAGTGTGCAGGACCAGTGTGCAAGGACAGTGTGGACCAGTGTGCAGGACCAGTGTGCAAGGACCAGTGTGCAGGGACCAGTGTACAAGGACCGGTGTGCAAGGACAGTGTGCAGGGAGTGTCAGGACCAGTGTGCAGGGACAGTGTGCAAGGACCAGTGTGCAAGGACCAGTGTGCAGGGACCAGTGTACAGGACCAGTGTACAAGGACCAGTGTGCAAGGACCAGTGTGCAGTGTGCAGGACCAGTGTACAGGACCAGTGTACAAGGACCGGTGTGCAGGGACCGGTGTGCAAGGACCGGTGTACAGGAACCAGTGTGCAGGTGTGTGCAGGACCAGTGTACAGGACAGTGTGACAAGGACCAGTGTACAAGGACCAGTGTACAGGACCAGTGCAGGGACCAGTGTGCAGGGACCAGTGTGCAAGGACCAGTGTGCAAGGACCAGTGTACAAGGACCAGTGTACAGGACAGTGTGCAGGGACCAGTGTGCAGGGGACCAGTGTACAGGGACCAGTGCAGGACCAGTGCAGGACCAGTGTACAAGGACCAGTGTACAGGACCAGTGTACAAGGACCAGTGTGGGACCAGTGTACAGGACCTGTAGCCAGTGTACAGGACCAGTGTACAAGGACCAGTGTACAGGACCAGTGTGCAAGGACCAGTGTGCAAGGACAGTGTGCAGGACCAGTGTGCAAGGGACCAGTGTGCAGGACCAGTGTGCAAGGACCAGTGTACAGAGACAGTGTACAGGACCAGTGTGCAGGGACCAGTGTGCAAGGACCAGTGTGCAAGGAGACAGTGTCAGGACCGTGTGAAGTGTACAGGACCAGTGTACAGGACCAGTGTACAAGAACCAGTGTGCAAGGACCAGTGTGCAAGGACCAGTGTACAGGGACGTGTACAAGGACCAGTGTGCAAGGACCGGTGTGCAAGGACCGGTGTGCAGGGACCGGTGTGCAAGGACAGTGTACAGGACCAGTGTGCAGGACCGGTGGGCGTGTCAAGGACCAGTGTGCAGGACCAGTGTGGGACCAGTGTGCAAGGACCAGTGTACAGGACCAGTGTGCAGGGACCGTGTACAGGACAGTGTACAAGGACGTGTCAAGACAGGGGTGTCAGGACCGGGACCAGTGTACAGGACCAGTGTACAAGGACCAGTGTACAAGGACCAGTGTACAAGGACCGGTGTGAGGACAGTGTGCAAGGACCAGTGTGCAAGGACCAGTGTGCAAGGACCAGTTCAGGGCCAGTGTACAGACCAGTGTGCAAGGAGTGCAGGACCAGTGTGCAGCGGGAGTGTACAGGACCAGTGTGAGGGCAGTGTGAGTGTACAAGGACCAGTGTACAAGGACGCAGTGTGCAGGGCAGTGTGGGACCAGTTGGTGTGCAAGGACGTATGGACCAGTGTACAGGACCAGTGTACAGGACAGTGTACAGGACAGTGTGCAGGGACAGTGTGCAGGACTTGCAGAGTGTGCAGGACCAGTGTGCAGGACCAGTGTGCAGGACAGTGTACAGGACCAGTGTGCAAGGACCAGTGTGCAAGGACCAGTGTACAAGGACCAGTGTACAGGACCAGTGTGTGCAGGACCAGTGTGCAGGACCAGTGTGCAAGGACCAGTGTACAGGACCAGTGTACAGGGACCAGTGTACAAGGGACCAGTGTGCAAGGGACCAGTGTACAAGGACCAGTGCAAGGACCAGTGTACAGGACCAGTGTGCAGGACCAGTGTGCAGGGACCGGTGTGCAGGGACCAGTGTACAGGACCAGTGTGCAAGGACCAGTGTGCAGGACCAGTGTGCAAGGACCGGTGTGCAAGGACCAGTGTGCAAGGACCAGTGTACAGGACCAGTGTGCAAGGACCAGTGCAAGGACCAGTGTGCAAGGGACCAGTGTGCAAGGACCAGTGTACAGGACCAGTGTGCAGGGACCGGTGTGCAGGACCGTCAGGACCAGTGTGCAGACGTGTGCAGGACAGTGTACAGGACCAGTGTGCAAGGACCAGTGTACAGGACCGGTGTGCAGGACCGGTGTACAGGACCAGTGTGCAGGACCAGTGTACAGGGTGTGGACCGGTGTGAGGACCAGTGTGCAAGGACAGTGTGCAAGGACCAGTGTACAGGACCATGTGCAAGGACCAGTGTGCAGGACCAGTGTCAAGGACAGTGTACAAGGACCAGTGTACAGGACCAGTGTACAAGGACCAGTGTACAGGACAGTGTGGGACCAGTGTGCAGAGTGTCAGGACCGTGTACAGGACCAGTGTGCAAGGACCAGTGTGCAAGCCAGTGTCAGGACATGCAAGGACCGTGTAGGCGTGTCAGGGTCAAGTGTGCAAGGACCAGTGTGCAAGGACCAGTGTGCAAGGACCAGTGTACAGGACCAGTGTGCAGGGACCAGTGTACAGGACCGGTGTAAGGTGTCAGGGACCAGTGTACAGGCAGTGTGCAGGACCAGTGTACAGGACCAGTGTGCAAGGACCAGTGTACAGGACCAGTGTGCAAGGACCGGTGTGCAAGGACCGGTGTACAGGACCGGTGTACAGGACCGGTGTACAGGACCGGTGTGCAGGACCGTGTACAGGACCGGTGTGCAAGGACCGGTGTGCAGGACCGTGTGCAAGGACAGTGTGCAGGACCAGTGTGCAGGACCGGTGTGCAGGACCAGTGTGCAGGACCGGTGTGCAAGGACCAGTGTACAAGGACCAGTGTACAGGGACCAGTGTGCAAGGACCAGTGTGCAAGGACCAGTGTGCAGGACAGTGTACAGGACCAGTGTGCAGGGACCAGTGTCAGGACGTGTCAGGACAGTGACAGTGTGCAAGGACCAGTGTACAGGACCAGTGTACAAGGACCAGTGTGCAAGGACCAGTGTGCAAGGACCAGTGTGCAAGGACCAGGTCAGGACCAGTGTGCAAGGACCAGTGTACAGGACCAGTGTGCAGGGACCAGTGTGCAGGGACCAGTGTGCAAGGACCAGTGTACAGGACGGTGTGCAGGCGTGTGGACCGTGTACAAGGACCAGTGTGCAGGACCGGTGTGCAAGGACCGGTGTGGGCCGTGTGGACCAGTGTGCAGGACAGTGTACAGGACCAGTGTGCAAGGACCAGTGTACAGGGACCAGTGTACAAGGACCAGTGTGCAAGGACCAGTGTGCAAGGACCGGTGTACAGGACCAGTGTAGTGTGCAAGGACGTGTGCAGGACCTGTCAGGACCAGTGTGGGACCAGTGTGCAAGGACCAGTGTGCAAGGGCCAGTGTGCAGGACCAGTGTACAGGACCAGTGTACAGGGCCAGTGTACAGGACCAGTGTGCAGGGACCAGTGTACAGGACCAGTGTGCAAGGACCAGTGTACAAGGACCAGTGTACAAGGACCAGTGTACAGGACAGTGTGCAAGGACCAGTGTGCAAGGACCAGTGTACAAGGACCAGTGTACAAGGACCAGTGTACAAGGACCAGTGTCAAGGACCAGTGTACAAGGACCGGTGTACAGGACCAGTGTGCAGGGACCAGTGTGCAGGACCAGTGTACAGGACCAGTGTACAGGACCAGTGTGCAGGACCAGTGTACAGGACCAGTGTACAGGACCAGTGTGCAGGACCAGTGTGCAGGACCAGTGTGCAAGGACCGGTGTACAAGACCAGTGTACAGGGACCAGTGTGCAGGGACCAGTGTGCAAGGACCGGTGTACAGGGGTGGGTGTGGACGTGTGGACCGGTGTGCAGGGACCAGTGTGCAAGGACCAGTGTGCAAGGACCAGTGTACAGGCAGTGTGCAGGACCGTGTGGGGACCAGTGTGCAGGGACCAGTGTGCAAGGACCAGTGTACAAGGACCAGTGTACAAGGACCAGTGTGCAAGGACCGGTGTGCAAGGACCAGTGTACAAGGACCAGTGTGCAGGACAAGTGTGCAAGGACCAGTGTGCAGGACCAGTGTACAGGACCTGTGCAGGACCGTGTGGGACGTGTACAGGACCGGTGTGCAGGACGTGTCAGGACGTGTACAGGACCGGTGTCAGGACGTGTCAGGACGTGTACAGGACAGTGTACAGGACCGGTGTACAGGACCAGTGTGCAAGGACCAGTGTACAGGACCAGTGTACAAGGACTGTGGTTGTTGGGGTGTGGGGTGTCAGGACCAGTGTGCAGGACCGGTGTACAGGACCAGTGTGCAAGGACCAGTGTGCAAGGACCAGTGTGCAGGACCGGTGTGCAGGACAGTGTACAGGACAGTGTGCAGGACCGTGTAGGACCGTGTGAGGACCGTGTACAGGACCAGTGTACAGGACCAGTGTACAAGGACCAGTGTACAAGGACCAGTGTACAAGGACCGGTGTGCAAGGACCAGTGTGCAGGGACCAGTGTACAGGACCAGTGTGCAGGACCGTGTACAAGGGCAGTGTACAGGACCGGTGTACAGGACCAGGTGTGCAAGGCGTGTCAAGGACCAGTGTGCAAGGACCAGTGCAGGGACCAGTGTGCAGGACCAGTGTGCAAGGACCAGTGTGCAAGGACCGGTGTGCAAGGACAGTGTACAAGGACCAGTGTACAGGACCAGTGTGCAAGGACCAGTGTACAAGGCCAGTGTACAGGACCAGTGTGTGCAGGACCAGTGTACAAGATCAGTGTACAGGACCAGTGTACAGGACCAGTGTACAAGGACCAGTGTACAGGACGTGCCAGTGTACAAGGACCAGTGTCAGGAGGTGTACAGGACCAGTGTGCAAGGACCAGTGTACAGGACCAGTGGAAGAACCAGTGTACAAGGACCAGTGTACAGGACCAGTGTGCAGGACCAGTGTACAGGACCAGTGTGCAAGACCAGTTTACAAGGACCAGTGTACAGGACCGGTGTGCAAGGACCAGTGTCAAGGACGAAACTCCATACTCCACTTTGGTCGGGAACAGAATCGGTGACAATTACCTGACATGAAAACTTTCCACCAATTGAGCTACGCAATGTTACACACACACACACACACACACACACACACACACACACACACACACACACACAGAGGATAGTACAGATTATGAGACAGGTAGGCAGACAGAACGGTAGAACAAACAGACTGACAGACAAACAAACAGTAAGTAGAAAAGTAATACAGACAAATAGACAGCAGTGTAGAACAGACAGACAGACAGACAGAGACAGAGCGCCGCGACTACACTTTCATAAGTCAGGTCGTAACAAAACACATAAATTATACGAGCCGCCCTGAACTAAAATTTTAACACTGGGTGGAGCTCAGAGGTTAGTGGTGAGGGTGTGTGGGGTGGTGGGTGGTGGGGTGGGTGGTGGGTGGGGGTGGGGTGGTGGGTGGTGGGGGTGGGGGTGAGTGGTGGGGGGTGTGGGTGGGGTGGTGGGTGGTGGGTGGGTGTGGGGGTGGTGGTGGGTGGGTGGTGGGTGTGGGGGTGTTGGGTGGTGGGGGTGTGTGGGGGTGGTGGTGTGGTGGGTGGTGGGGTGTGGGTGGTGGGGTGGTGGGGGGTGGGTGGTAGGGGTGTGGGTGGTGGGTAGGGGTGTAGGTGTGGGGAGGTGTGGTGTGGTGGGAGGTGTGTGTGTGGGTGGGTGGGGTGTGGTGGGAGGTGTGGTGTGGTGGAGGTGTGGTGGGTGTAGGTATGATGGGGGTGTGGTAGGGGTGTGGTGAGGGCTGAGAGGGTGTAAGGCAATGGTAAGTTGGGTTATGACGTTGGAGAGAGAGAGGGCCTGTGGCTGAATGGGTTGAATGTGAGAGGTGGTGGAGAGGTGTGGTCATGAGTGAGAAAGAAAGCACAAAGGCAGTAGCGCGCGTACACACACACACACACACACACACACACACACACACACACACACACACACACACACACACACACACACACACAACAACACACACTATATAATATTAGCTATAAAACTTGGCACTCTGACAGCCACCCGCCAGTGCCACACGACTCTGAGGTCATTGACAGCACTACAAGGGACACCCCCAGCAGGAGGTCTTGTGGGCGTGGGGGAAGAGGTGAGGGAATAAATGTGAAATTATTACTGTTTTAAATTTAATTCCTAACCTAACCTAACCTGACCTAACCTAACCTAACACAACCTGACCTAACCTGACCTAACCTAACCTAACCTGAACTAACCTAACGTAACCTAGCCTAACCTAACCTAACCTGACCTAACCTAACCTAACGATTCATCATCTAAGAGCTAATCATGTATATGTATGTTTATGTAAGTTTTGTCGTGTGAGCGTATCTATGTACGTACGCATATTTGGGGATGCTTCCATGTACGTTTTTTATGTGATTGTTGTAATGTAAATGTTTTTATGTGTAATAGCCACATACATATTTCCATGGACGTTTACATGCGAGCGCTTTCATGTACGTTTTTTGTGAGTGCTTCGATGCTTTTTCTGGAGTAAGTGTTAAGAGGAAATGCATAGCCAGTGAGGGAAATGAGGGGGGGAAGGAGGGGAGGAGGAGGAAGAGAGGAAGGAGGGAGGATGAAGGGAAGGAAGGAAGGGGGAATAGTTAAGGGAGAGAAGGAAAGGGGAAGGAGGAGCTAACACGGTCTTGAATCAGGTATGGCAACACTGTTAATAAAACGGGACATGCATACATACATACATACATACATACATACATACATACATCCATACATACATACATACATAGATATATACATACATACATACATATTTTTTCCCAATCGATTTTTTCTTAGTTCTTCTATTTTATCATTTATTATTCATTTCTCTTTTTTTTCCATGATAATAATTCTATGTTTGTATTAATTATTTTTTCTATCCTTTAATTTTCTTGGAACATTTTTTTCTTCGTGATTTTTTTTTTTTGATTTTCACTACAAATTATTCCGTCTAGATTTTGTAAATATGTATGTATGTATGTATGTATGTATGTATGTATGTATGTATGTATGTATGTATAGTGGTGACCTAGACGATACCTCCATCTCCTTGAAAACTACCAGAGCTATCGCCTTCAACCCTTCAGATGAAATTCCTGAGGATTATCGCTGAACGCTTATAGCCAGGGGTCAAGATTGCCGGGGTCACCAGGTCACAGCTAGGGGAGGGAAGGGGGGAAGGGAGAAGAGGGAAGGGAGCGGAAAGGGAGGAGGGGGAGTTAGGTGGAGGTTGGATCCTGGATAAAGGTAGGTCAAAGGTGAAGGGTCATTGTAAAGAGTTCAGTTCACGTGGAAGGTAGATAGATAGGTAGGTAGATATATAGATAGATAGAAAACTGATAGATAGATAGATAGAAAACTGATATATAGATAGATAGATAGATAGATAGATAGAAACTGAGATAAATAGATAGATGACAGACAGACAGACAGACAGACAGAATAAATCCCTCTCAACTTACACATGTCTCCTCCTCCTGCCTGTCACCTCCTGGCCTCACATCAGCAGAAGACGACAACAAGCAAAACACACGTACAGACACACACACAAAATTCCTCGGCTGACATGTGCACACGCGGGAATCAAGGAATAATAAGATGGGGTGGGGGGGTGGGGGGGAGGGGAGGGGGAAGGAGAGAATGGAAGGAAAGGAGGAGGGAAGGAAAGACAAGATGGAAAGAGATGGATGGAGGGAGGATGAGAAGAAATGTGTGTGTGTGTGTGTGTGTGTGTGTTTAAGGTGTACGTATAGATATCCATGTAAGTATTCACCGTGTAAGTATCTCAATAAAATACAGGCACATACCCCAAAACTAATGGACCAATATTGATGAACCTTGCCACACCCATAAGACAACAGCCAGGGTCCAGGTAATTCAACTCTGGAGCCAATTAACCGGAAGACGTCAAGGTCAAGGTCAAGCTGCTTCTGCGGTGTACTGTAGTTCTGCCTGTCGGGGAATAATAATAATAATAATAATAATAATAATAATAATAATAATAATAAATAATAATAATAACACTACTAATAATACCATCACCAATAACAACAACAACAACAACAACAATTATAATAATAATAATAATAATAATAATAATAATAATAATAATAATAATAATAATAATAATAATAATAATAATAATAATAACTCCCAAATATTATGCAACATTGACCACACAAGTTCAGGGTCGATTAACCAAACTTTTAACGAAGACAAAAGTTTATAAATTACATTAAAATTCCACAATACTTTATGATCGATACGTAATATTAAGTTATAATTACATTTTACAAGATTAATTTTCTGTGTACCTTGATGTCGATGATTTAATACAGAAATAATATTTAAGTTAGCGCCTCTGAGGTCATCTTTGAACATCGTCATTCAGAGGTCAAATGGGTGTGTTCTAGAGGTAAATGGTTTTTTATGGTTATGACAGTGTAAGATAATCCTACAACCACAACACAATATACAGCAGCAGACGAACTAATATACAACCACATTTAACAACCACGCATGTGTGTGTGTGTGTGTGTGTGTGTGTGTGTGTGTGTGTGTGTGTGTGTGTGTGTGTGAAGCAAGTTGATGTTGGTCTCACAGTGATGATATTTATAACAAAGTATATTTATAACGAAGTGTCTTTATAACGAAGTATGTCTATAACGAAGTATGTCTATAACGAAGTTGATCTTTATAACAAAGTATATTCATGACGAAATACCTTTATAACGAAGTATCTTTATAAAGAAATTATGTCTATAACGAAGTATGTCTATAACGAAGTTGGTCTTTATAACGAAGTATCTTTATAACGAAGTATCTTTATAACGAAGTATCTTTACAGCAAAATATCTTTATAACAAAGCATCTTTATAACGAGGTATCTTTACAGCGAAGTATGTCAATAACGAAGTATATTTATCTCTCTATCTGACGTGTTTAATTACTGAGCTTCATACAAATTACTCATGATCAAATATAAATCCATTTTACATGTACAGTATATAACAATAAGCTAATCTTGTCAACTTGAAAAATATATTGTTCGTGTTAATGACTTTGTTTATTTGGCATAATAGTATGTATGTATGTATGTATGTATGTATGTATGTATGTATGCATGTATGTATGTAAGAATGTATGTATGTATGCATGTATGTAAGAATGTATGTATGTATGTATGTATGTATGTATGTATGTATAGAATCCCAGTCGAGGTGTATAAAGCAGGAGGACCTCAGCTTACCAGCCGTCTCCACTCTCTCCTGGAGAATATATGGGAAAAGGAGGAAATCCCCAAGCTCTTAAAAACGCCTTCATCGTCAATATTTATAAGAACAAGAGAGACCGGTCAGACTGTGGCAACTACCGCGGGATCTCGCTCCTGTCCGTAGCTGGCAAGATTATTGCCCGAGTCCTCCTAAACAGACTTCTTCCTCCCAGAATCTCAATGTGGCTTTAAGGCCATCACGTGGCACTACTGACATGATATTTGCTGCCCGCCAAATACAGGAAAAGTGCAGAGAACAGCGTCCTGCCATGTACATAGCTTTCATCGACCTAACCAAGGCCTTCGACTCGGCCAACAGGGAAGCACTTTGGTGGACCCTCAGCCGTTTTGGCTGCCCCCAAAAAATTCATCGCCATTGTGAGGCAACTCCACAATGGCATGAACGGCAGTGTCCTGCACAATGGCATGAACGGCAGTGTCCTGCACAATGGCATGAACGGCAGTGTCCTGCACAATGGCACCCAGTCTGAGTTCTCCCCCCTCCCATCCAAACGGGGGTTAAACAAGGGTGTGTAGTGGCATCAACTCTCTTGTCCATTTTCTTGGCAGCCTTCCTTACTCGTGCCAGTGCCAATTTAGCTGGTGGGGTGGACATCCAATACCGGATGAAGGGTTTTTTCAACATAAGACGGCTCCAGGCAAGAACAAAGGCGTCGGCAGCTTTCATTACTGAACTTCAGTATGCAGACGACCTCACTCTTGTTGCTCACACGGAACGCGA